TGAAGATCTATGTGTATTTGTATGATATGTGTGTTTTCTTGTGATTTTGTGATATATTTGTGCTAAAAATGAAAGATATTTCGAGATCTATAGTTCAAGTAGGAAAGATATGTGATCTAGTTCATATTTCACTCAACATGTCAAGATAAACTAATATACAAGTTTTAAAATAACTTACTACAACATCAAACTCATTTTTGGGACTATTTTTGTCAAATAAGTAAAAGTTTGGAGCAAAAGTTGTCATTTACGGTTTTTACAAGGTTCAAAATGCCAAAACAGTTAAAATAGAAGTTTCTATGAACATTATGTTTTTCAAAGGACTAAAAATGAAATTTATGGCTTATTGGACTAAATTTTGGGCTTTTCAGCCCATAGGCCCAAAAGTTGCGAAAAAATGGATTTTAGGGGGCCGAAATGGTAAATTTCTCAAAACAGTGGGTAGAAAAGTAAATAAACTTATTTCAGGGGTTAAAATGGCCTTATTTGCAAAAAAGGATTGAAAATGCAAAGATTTTGGGTTTTGGGTAAAAAGTGTAAAATTTGTGAAAAAGGTGGACTAAAATGCAAATCTTTTAACTAATGGGTTGAAACTTTCTAAAATTTATTTTTGGGCTTAAAATTGTATTTAAATAAGTGTTTGGGTCAAAGATGTTAAGAAAAATGGTTTAAGGACCTAAAATGTCATTTTTTTTATAAAAAGGGCAAAAATTGCCAACTTTACAAAATAAGGGGCTGAATAGGTCAAAGTAATGTTTTTGGTCAATTATGTTAACAATAATAATAATTGGGTCAAAATATACAAAACTTCATAACTTATGGGTTTTAAGTAGAAAAATAACTATTTTATAAATCTATAAATCGTTATAAAACAATTTCGTGATTTATAAGTCATATCGATTAAACAACTCGCAATATTAATACTATACAAAACAAGTAAACGTTCAAATGGTCGGGCTTGAGAGATTCTAATCATGCTTAATGGGCATTCGTGACTCATTAACATGGCTTTTGGGCCCAACTTATATAATACATGTTATTGGGCCTCCTGCGACCCAATTTCATGCTTAAAGGACCATCAATGGTTTTTACATGTTATTGGGCCTCAGTGGCCCATTAGCGTTACTAGTAAGGTCCAAATTAATCATATGCGAAATGGGCCGACAAGCTTTTCGTATATTCGACAGCCTTAAATAATATACGAAATTAGTAGGGCCTCGTAGTCCTCTTCTTCTCGTCTGTTAGGCTTACCTTCTCTTCAAGTAAACTAAATCGGATCATTAATCAAGGTTAAACGAATTCATGTGGATTGAGTGAGTAATAACAGGTGTCACCAATAGGTGTCGGTCGTAGTCTGTAGTTGTAATCAAAGTCTCCTGGAGGAAGAGCGAGAGTTTGTGTATAGATCTATACGGGGGTGACTCCCCCACACCTAAGCTGTTCGCTACAGTTAGACTCGGCCAGTCTAGGGTGATAAAGTCTTAAGATCAAATTTCGGTGTTAATTTAGAATACCAAGACAGACGAACTAGTCATTATCATGCATGGTTATAACGACTCACGTAGAAAATCCGACATCATTAATCAAGGGACATTCATTAATCATGGGAAATCATATTCATTCGATGTAACGATTCAATAAGGCGAAACAATCATATCTTTTTATCGGAAAACATCGGGTTCTCCGGGGGAAACCAATCTTACTCATTTGTACTTCAAAAACTATAATGCAAAACTTCTCATTTATTCATGTTTTGAAAACATCCACGCATATACTTACATGATCATCACAACATTTTCAAAAACTAGGATGGTGATGCATGTGTTATGTTTCATATATATTCATTGTGATGGTATTTCAATTTAAGTCACGCCAGCCCCCGGACGTTTCCGCCGTCTGGTTCGGGAGTGTGACATATACTATAGCTAACTCCACCCTCGTTATATATATATATATATATATATATATATATATATATATATATATATATATATATATATATATAAACCTCGTTTTACACACCATCCTATTTCTTCCCTAATACACACCACTCTACCTTGACCTATGACTTCCTCTTTGCTCACCAATCTAATATTACACAATTTAATAGAAGCCTATCTAATCTAATATCCATATACACGTCAGCCATCTACAAAAAAAAACTAATGCATTACTTTTTCAAGAAAAAGACCACGCGCCTCTTTGGCTGTTAAGAAGCCACGCAACATATAAACCTTTTTTTTAACTAACCCTCATCGTATATCAAACTTTTAATTTAAAGCTTTCAATTTTATGATATATTTTATTAATCCTTGACGTAACTTACTTTTATTTACTATAATCTTAATAATAAAGTATATATATATATATATATATATATATATATATATATATATATATATATATATATATATATATATATATATATATATATATATATATATATATATAGAGAGAGAGAGAGAGAGGGTGTCACACCCCAAAACCAGAATGACGAAAACATTATGGGGTGGAGGACGTCATGTGTAGCATCACAAACAATGAATAATAGCAATCATAGCATCACAACCGATATTTTCTTTAGTGAAAATGTAGTGTTTTCAATCCTGTATAAAACCATGAATGTTCGTTACTGAAAACTGTAGTGATATGCGAAAATAATACTTCATGTGACTAGCTAATGCTAATCATGATGTATAAGTATTTCGTACCTGAAACCATTATATGGTCGGTTCTGTTTGAAAACCCTGGAAATTCTCCAGTTGTAGTGTGTATTAGTTCTATTTAGTATAAATAAAACTGTTGACGAGTGCCAATTTGCAAACTAAAGGGGATTTATACATATTATGAGTCGTATAACCATACTTGATATGACCTAGAGACCTTTATAACGTTCTTTAGGCGTTAAGCTAAATGACATTTGTTCACCCCAGGCGTGCCCGCCTAACTGTAGCTAGCAGTTCAGGTGTGGGATTGTCAGTCCCGAATAGATATATTCACAAATCTCACGCTCTCCCTCCAGGAGACTCTGGTTATACTAAAAGGATTTACCCCTGTACACCTAAGGGTACAATATTGAAGTTGAGCCTCACAAAAATGTATAATCTTGTTTACAAGCTAGAAATAGTATAAAACAGTAATTATCCTTTAATAAATGTACTTTATACTTCTGAGAAAACATATAACATAAACTAAATCTGCCATAGTTTATATATATATTCATCCATAAAATCTGATTTGGTAGAAACTGCCTAGAGGGTTATCCCAAACTATATCCATTATAGTTTATTAGAGTTGTTATGGAAAATGCTTTGTCAAACCTTTCTGAAAGCTATGAGGTTAGATTTCCAAAATAACAGTTTCCCTTATGCTCAACATATTACAAAAGAGATGAAATATCCGAGTATGTTATTAAACATGGAAATCATTGAATTGTATCAATAAGTTTAAAACTTAATAAAATACTTTGAGTTTGGCTTGTATTCCCCCCCTGAAAACATTAAAAACACGGAAAATGTAGGGGTATGAACTCACTATTGTTGTGTGAAAGCGTCGACTGAAATGAAGATCCTCGAGTTGTTGTACGTGGCACTTAACGGAATCCGGGACTTAATTGAATCAATGGATCGAGGTTTCTGCCGTGAACAAGGATTTACGGTCGACAGACAGTTTACGCCTGTGAACAGGGTTTACGGCCGTGAACTGGGGTTTACGGCCTTTGAAGACTCGGTGAGTTTACGGTCGTAAACTCAAGAACAAGGTTTACGGTCTTTGAAGGTGGGCCGTAAACTCAAGAACAAGGGTGCTGATTTCGAAGAGAAAACTACTTCAGACGTCCCGAAATAACTCCAAATGGTGTTTCTCGATGTTTTCCCGAAGATTGAAGGTGTTTTTAGGTGTTTACGGTCAGGGTTTTTAGAGAGAGAAGGAGAGAGTTTTCGGCCATCAGTGTTCAAATGAGGGTGGGGGTCTCATATTTATAGGGGTTTTGTGGTCGGTGGATGGGGGTCCACCTGAAACTGGCCGTAAACGGGTGTACGGCCGTAAACTCGTTTACGACCGAAAATTGTTTTGATTTTTGAGGAGACTTTGGGTCTTTTGCGCGATTTGGTTCCGACTCGCATATATAAATTTAATTATATAAAACTAGATGATTTTCTAAATCAAAGGTTCGACGGAAGATTAATAAAATTCAAATTTTATTAACGGAAATCGCATAACGGAATGGAAAAAGTTTCGGGTTGTCACAGAGGGGGGGAAGGATCATTTGAGAAATCAAAGTTTCCCGAGAACCCGAGACTAAAGGTGGAACGTTGGATCAAAAAAAGGAAGGGTCGAGATGCAAGGTGGCGTTTTTGTAAATAAGTAGACAAAAAAAGAAGGAGGGGTATCTTAATTAATTCAGTCAGGGGTATTATAGGAATAAAAGTATAATTAAATGATTTATTAAATCTAATATCTGATAAAATAAATTGTCATCTCTCTCTATCCTATCCGTTTCCTCTCTCGCTCAAACCTACGATCCATCATCCGACGACTCACCTCCGTCGAATAGCCTCCAGCCTCCTCCATCATCCGCCGTCGAACGCCTCCCTCCTCCCTTCACCGGCCACCTCTACCTTTGTCGACCGCCACACTCCTTGATTTCACGTTCTTCATAGAAAAAACTCCACTGAAGATTCTTTGATTTTGAATCGGTTTGTTCGCCATTATTGCACATCCGTTCTCCCTTGTTTCTCTATCATCATCGGACTACTCCATTACGATCGAGATCTCTCTTCTTCCCCTGTCGTTGCGCCAACTACTGATTAGATAACAGAAGGAGAAAAGGATAAGTGTTCTTCATTTATTCTCATATTTGTAACTACCGTTGCTTGTTTTCTATTTTCTTTCTCTAATCTTGAATATTGTATTAGTTTCCTTCACCTTGATGGATTTTCAACCGTTCAGAGTTGGACAATATCTTTTGTTCGTTTTTAGCACACAACGTGTTTGTTGAAATGCTTCAAAGAATGTTTTCACCATTTACCTTTGTTAATTGTGCTTCTGTATTGGTAATTTCATCCCATTGACTATGGTTCTTGTGACCTGCCACCTGAGGATATTTCCAAACCAAATGATTGGCAAGATTTTGTTGACCAACTATCACTAAAGATGATGCTACAATGCCAAATTAGGGAAATATTGGTTAACTATTAGAAGTTAACTTGGAAATCCATATTTACTTTCTCTGTTAAGTCATGCTTTATGTCATAAGTAAAGAAGAAGTGGTTTGTAAGATAAATTTGATCTGTTCTTATCTTAATTGTAGTTACATGCCTATTTTTGGATTTGGTGGGGCTCTTTTAGAGTTTTTCACATTGGTAGCAACACTCATCTTATATTGAAAAAACCAATAGATTTCTTACTTGTATTCATCTTGATTTCTAGGTGTGTATCAAAATGGACACAGAACAGGAGTCTGAATGGAATGCATCACATAGTATCTTTATCAGTGAAGATCTTTTGACTGTGCTAAGCTTTAGCTGCAATTTCTTGCAGTTTTAGACAGAAACTGTTGGCTTTATCAAGGCCAGACGTTGCAATGGGCAATCTATAGGTAACTCAACTGATTATTACTTTTTTAGTAACAAAAACTTATAATTTAATGAAAAAAAACTAATTTCAGGTACAATGCATGTTGGCTTCCATTGCTTGCTAAACATTCAGAGTCTAAAATCACTGAAGGACCTTTAGTTGTTCCTCTTGATTGTGAATGGATTTGGCATTGTCACAGACTTAATCTGGTATATGATTATGAAACAAATACTCATTTTTCCAATGATAATTTCTGTAAAAAAAACTTTATATTCTTGATATATTTTTTTTATAGGTTAGATACAAATCAGATTATGAAAAATTCTATGGAAGTATTCTTGACAACTCTAATGTTGTCTCTTCTATTAATCAAAGAACATCAAGAAAGGAAACAAAAGAAACATGGAACAAATTATACCCTAATGAACCCTATGAGTATGACATATCACGTGCTTCCTCAAGTGAATTTTCAGAAACTTTATATAATGGAGGAACTCAAAGCTTTTCCAAATATGATTTTGTTTTAGCTGTTGAAAGACAAAGCCCATTCTTTTACCAGGTAAACCTTAAAACCAACTAAACATTACTATAAAAAGTTAAAAATAACTTTTTTTTGCAGAATTGTTTGAAACCCTACTCTTTGTGACAGGTGTCAAGGCCTCATTTCAAGAAAGATCTGTTCCTTCAAGATACACTTATAATCTCATGATTTGGGGGGTTTTCCTTTCTTCAAGAGTAGAAACTACAAACAGATTCATTGAATGTATGTGTGATGTGTCACAAATATCATTCAGATTTTTCCATTCAGGTTCCTATCAAGCTATAGTCGTGAGAGCTTTCTACAATTGTAGAGTTCTTGGATTTCAGGTAATTCTCACATAATATCAAAAATTTTATATAGAAAAATGATGATGAATAAAGAGATTTACATGTGAATCACTTGTGACACATGTGAATCATTTGTGATTTACATGTGAATCACATGTAAATCATGTGAATTAATTATTTTTCTCTAACCATGTAGTTTATTTTAATTGCTTTTATATTAAGCTTCATAAATCACTTGTGATTTACATGTGAATCACTTGTGATTCACATGTAAATCATATTAATTATTTATTTTTTCTAACCATATAGTTTATTTTAATTTGTTTCATTTTAGCAATATATCACAAGTGAATCACATATGAATTACATGTGATTCACATGTAAATCACAAGTGAATCATATGTAATTCACAAGTAAATAACAAGTGATTCACATATGAATTACATGTGATTCACATGTAATTAACATGTAAATCACAAGTGCATCACATATGAGTTACATGTGACACATATGTAATTTACATATAAATCACATGTAATTCACAAGTGATTCACATATGAATTACATGTCATTCACATGTAATTCACAGTAAATCACAAGTGAATCACATATGAATTATATGTGATTCACATGTAATTCGCATGCTAACCACATGTAACTCACAAGTAAATTTCATATGAATTACATTTGATTCGCATATAAATCATTAGTGAACCACATATAAATTACGTCTATATGCACACATGTATTTTTGTGAGTTTTCTTGCATTAATCATTTTTTTTCTTTTAGATTTAGAAGAATTTGTGGAAAACATTGAAGAGATGAAAAATGATAAATTAAAGAAAATATGGAACACGAAGACATAAAAACGCTTTGAAATTTTGTTGTATTTTTTGGTTTTTTTATATTTTATTTTGTATCGAATAAAATACTCGTATTATTGTGTTTATATATTATTAAATATAAATGGATTTTTTATATGTTTACTTACGAATATTATAGTATAAGAAAGATATATATGTAATTGAAAAATATACATATATGCATCTAAAACGTTGATTTTTTTTGTTAAAAAAAATTAGAGTTTTTTTTTAAATATTCCAATTTTTTTTTAACTTATTGATTTTTAAAAATTTACTTATTAAAAAAAATTGCAGCTTTTTTGAAAAAATTACAGTATTTTTTTTAAATACATTCAAGAAAATTACAGTTTTTTTGAAAAAATTGTTGTTTTGTTTTTGAAAAAATTGCAGTTTTTTTTTTAAATTGCAGTTTTTTTAAAAAAATATTTTTTTTCAATTAAAAAATAAAAAAATCTCCATTTTTTTTTAAAAAAATCGATTTTTTTTAAATCCGAAATTTGATTTATTATGTTAGTTTTTAGATCTTTTTATTAATATTTCCAATAAGAAAAAGAAATTAAACATTAAATTAGATCGGTAAGATGACGATCATGCCCTTAATTAATTAATTTTGATCTAACGCTCCACCTTTAGTTCTCAGGTTCTCGGGAAACTATGAGTTCTCAACGGATCTCAACCCTATATATATATATATATATATATATATATATATATATATATAATATATAATATATATATATATCATACATACTTATAAAGCTAACATTTTTTCTTGAATCTCATGCATTTGAAACCCCCTTTTTTAACTTTCTCAAACCACATTCATTTGAAACCCTCTTTTTTTAACTAATGCAACTCAAAAGTTTTCTTAATTATGATTTAACACTCAAATGTTTTATAACTTATATTATGTTTAATTAGCATTTAGTGAAAACTTTACTATAAAAAGGCCAATCTTTTGTGTCTTTTCTGATATATAAAATCTTACATGTAAGAAGGATTTGAAGATATTGTGATTCAAAAGTTTTCATATAGTTGAAGCATTCACGATCCAAATATGATGATTTGAAGAAATGGGTTATGTCGCATCGATGGTAATTGTAATATGATTTTTTCTTTCAACCAAAACAAATGAAGCTTTTCTATTCTTTCTTTATATTCAGTTTCTCATTTAATCTTTATATGTGATTTGTGTGTATTACTTAATCTTGAATGTGACTCTCCAAACATCAATGTTTTGCTTGGAATATCTTTCTGATTCTTCTTTTTCAAGAAAAATATTTGATTGCAGGTTAGTGAAGAATTGTCATCAAGTTTCTATGGTTGAATGGTGTTAAATGAAGAAAGAAGATTCATAAAATGGATATAGGTTTTTTTGTTTGAGCAAAGTTGACGAATGTTAGTTTTTTCTTTTGATTTAAATGTATGTTTATGTAACATCTTTATTTATATATTCAACCACCCAATGCTCTTATTTATCTGATTGTAGTTTTTCTATTTTGATTATGTTTATTTTCTATTATTTTTTGTTGGGTTATCCTACACAACATATTTAAAAGACAATATTTAAAAGATAACATAATTTTGAACATTTGATATGTAATTATGATAGACTTATCATGATATGTTCTTCATATGAAAGTATTTATCCATATTACTACGACAAGAATACATATGACATTTACGAATATATATATATATATATATATATATATATATATATTATATGTGATTTGTTTAACATGTATATGCACCTATGTATGTTATAAATTTATAATTAAATATTTTTATGTTTAATAAATGAAGGGATTAAAATGATGCATCAAAACCAATTATTTAGACGAATATAATAATAATAATAATAATAATAATAATAATAATAATAATAATAATAATAAAAAATATACATTTCCAAGTACCACATTCATTTGAAACTCACACTACAACTCAAGAGTTTTCTAATTTATGTATATTTATTAGTTACAACTAAAGAATTTTTAACTTATGATTATTAATTAGTAATCACTAATAACTTTTTATTTTCCTTTCTTTTATAAGGTTGTAAAGTTTTGCACATTAAAAACATTAATGTATTTGAAGATATTTGTGATTTAAATATGAAGAGTTAATATAAATGTTATAATAGATGTTTTAGTGTTTTTATGTTATTAAAAGTTATAGTGCTTATTTTTCATATTTTTTTATTATTCGTTGTATATATATCTTTTTTAATACAAATGTTATAATAGATGTTTTTCTATTTTTATGTTACTAAAAGTTGCAGTTCATATTTTTGTTCATACGTTTTCTTATCCGTTATATTATCATTCATTTGATATATAATTTACACAATTTTAAACGGTTTATAAAATTATCAAATAATTGTATATATCACAATGACTTAAAAATTAAACTATAATGTTGAATAAAACTAATAGGTTAACTATATGTTTGCTTTACTACTAACATTTTGTTTCAAAGTAGAAATATTATATAATAATTTGGTAAAAGTTATATTTTAACTATATAATTCTAATCTCGCGCAACGCGCGGGGATTCGCCTAGTATATATATATATATATATATATAATATATAATATATATATATATATATATATATATATATATATATATATATTGATGAATAGATATTTCTTAATATGTTTATTGTTTTTAGGTATCACTATTTACCCATGACAGTACCTATGGTCATATACTATAGCTAACTCCACCCTAGCATGTATCATTATACCTATATTCAAACTCCACCATGTAGTTTATCTATGTTCACACGCCACATACCCCATCATCATATTTTTGTGGTACAACGTAAGAAAGAGAAAGAGAGTAATAAGTAAGAAAGAGAAAAAGAGTAATAGGTAGAGAGAGAAAAAATACCAGTGGTAGATAGATATTGCTCCTGTGGAGAGGAGATCGGAGTGGGAGAGGCGGAGACCAATAGCCGGTGGAGAAAAGAATATGGCGACAACGAAGCGAAAGGCCGGCGTTAGAGAAGCAAGAGTCACTCGTGTGGCGACAGAGACCGGTCGAAGATATGCATTTGGACGTCCATGTTATTTCCGGTGAGATTTAGACGTTTTCTCTTTTCCGGCGAAAAACTTTCTGGGTCTTGTTGGTTTCTTAAACTCAAATCTTCAGTTAAGAATACATTTATTACATTTTTTTAAAAATATTTTGAGATATAATTTCCTAGTTTCGCGAATTAATTAGGTTCCTAATACCATGCGGTTTCTTTTGATTTTATTAGAAATTTTCGGATGTTTGTTTAACTCAATTGTTTATTCATATTATTGGTTTCTTAAACTCAAATCTTCATATAAGAATACTTAATTGCATTTTTTTAAGTTACATTACATGTGAAAGCAAACTCAAAGGAAGGGGCCTAATTAACAAATTGAATGATCATTAGACTTATATATGTAAGGTATTAGAAACTTCAAAACCGGGGAGGCCATGGCCCCCTGCCCCTATTACGGTCCGCCACTGCACGGACCTTTAGTGATGATTTATCAATTTGTCGTCACTAAAGGTGTTGTCGCAGCTATTGGTGTCACCGGAAATGCTTAGTGACCCGAATCCGCATTTTCACCTTCTGGTAAACGCCAACCGTTCGATCGTGTTTTCTAATCCAATGGTTGGGGTTTTGGTGGAACACACAAAACCATTACCGGCGACACAAAGTCGCCGCTAAAGACCTAAAATTGCCGCCGCTAAAGACTGAAAAAAAACGCGCCTTCTTTTCCCTCTTCGTAAGTCTCCGCTATTGGTTCGTGTCGCCGGTATTGCTTTAGACATTTAGTAGTCGCCGCTATTAGGCGTCGCCACTAAAGGTCGATACAGATTTCACCCACTCGATTCCTCTTTCTATTGTAAACCACTACAATAGAAAACAACATAATTGTTTAAATACAATGTTATAATTGAAAACAAAACAAAAATAAAATGTTATAAATAACAAAAATATAAAAAATGTACAATGCTCAAATAGAAAAAAAT